CCTCCTGCAAGTCTGTAAAGAGATCTTTGGCCTAACTAAGAGTTATCAGAATTTTGTTCTTCCTAGAAGTTTGTATTTTATCGCAGATTTAAGTCAGCAGATGGCTCTCTTGAGTTTTCCTTGGAACACCTAACATTGTAAACAACTACCCTGCATTTTCAAATTATAAGAGAATTTGCTTTTCTTCTCCATGATTTTAAAAAGAAAACCTTCCACAGTTTCACTGATTGTTTTGTTTTGCATCATTTTCTATGCATCATTTTCTCATTAATATACATCCTCAATTTTTCATATAGTATCAGATATACAAACTGAATTTATGTGACTGCAGCAAAATATTTCCAAAATAGAATAATATAGACTAAATAAAATGAGCAAGAAGTGGAGAGGAAGCTTACCAATAGTAACTAATGTATATCACAAATGGTATTTGCCTCATTAAATAAGAAAATATAGCCTCCTAGCATAGAGATTAGATTTTAAATTGTAGTTTATACAGGTGAAATCCACAGATACACCAACCCACACACCCACTGAATTAGTTGCTTGGTGAAAAACACATTACAAATCCTTGAAGTTTCATTTTATTCTCTGCCTTGCATGAATATTCCACAAGAAGTAAAGAACTGCAATATCCCCCCTTCTTCTTCTTCTTCTTCTTCTTCTTCTTCTTCTTCTTCTTCTTCTTCTTCTTCTTCTTCTTCTTCTTCTTCTTCTTCTTCTTCTTCAAAAGCTGTTATCAAACAATTCAATTTCAACTTCACCTCACCCCCACCAAATACTGGAAAAGAATTTACATATGTAAAGATACAGATTACCTACACACAACGGAAAGAAGAAAGCCGAAGGAAACAGAATTATTCCCCATTAAAATTGATGGGATTTTATTTAATCTTAACTTTGACCAGAAAATTACTGGTATAACATTATACATATGTATATGTATACATATAGGACAAAGTATCCAATAATAATTATCTCTCCATTATTGTAATTCTGTGTTTTTGGTTGTTTTTACAAACGGATGGGGGTACCCAAAGTCTTTTAAGGAGTGAATGTCAGCAAGTATGCACTTGATTCCTAGATCCAAGGCAACTGTTATTTTTTTCCTGCTCCTTACATTATTAGACTATATGGGCTAATTTTCTGTTCTTTGTCTTAATCTGAGGAACTAGAGTCAATTCTTTAAATAGTCCTCATTATGTTTTGCAAATTGAAGATTATTTCCCTCCTCTTTGCTCTGCTCTGTCCAAGGTCCTGATCAAAGTGACTAGTCTTTCAAAAACAGAAGAGTGCTGAAAATTCCTTCAAAACCACCATTAGTAAATACTATCTCTTGTATGCATCCTATTTAAGCAGAGAAAATTCATCTTAAGAAATTAATATATTATGCTGCAGTTTGATGAATATATTCCTAAGTAAAGTACAGGTTTGACAAGCACTGTGGAGTGTCAGTAATGTCAGTAAATTGTTTTCTTCAAATTAAAGTTATTGTGAGTAATCCCTTGGCCTGAAAGTATTTCTAGAACAAACTCCCAATATAAGTAGTTGCACTGAATTTATTTAGCACCATTTTGAAATTTAAAGGGATAAATTTATTTTTTCCATGTTGACCTTGGAGAAAGCAAGCAAGCAAATCTGGAGAACAAGAATTAAAATCAAGACATTTATTTATTTATTTAAACAGTTAATATTGCTGCTCATCTCATAGCAATGACTCTGGGGTAGAAGACAGAAGGTTAAGTTATCAATGAAATGATTAATCAATAATCCACAAACAACAATCTAGGGTCAATAACAACAACAAATCCTAATTTACCACAAAAAACAAATTGATAATGTTCTATTTTGTGCATTAAAGAATTTTGGAGAATACTGATTATTATTATTAAAGTCCGGAAACATTTAGCTGAAGTAATTAGAAAATGCACTGCAATTCAGACCTCTTATCTCCTTTTCGTTCAATATTAGCAGTTTTTGTTCAATATTTTGTTCAATGTTAGGATGGTTCACACACAGAAAAGTTCATGAGTGATTCTTCCAGGTGACCATCCTTACAATTAACACATAACTTCAAATCTGCTTTGTTCAGTGTGGCCGCCTTTACTAGCAGCTGATTTAATTAGTGTTATCTATGTGTAGCACCAAAGAATTTTGTGCACTGATTCTCAAAGGCCATATCATTCTAATCCTGATGACGCATTAATAGTGGGTAATCTGTATTTTGTTTGACTAGGAAATCTTGCAATCAGGTCAGTTAGGGATGTCCAGATGTTGTCAGGGTTTTCTGTACCTTCAATGTTTAGTGCCAAAGTGCCAAAAGGAGTGGGAGGGGGGAGGGAAAAAACCCCCTCCAATCAACCACACTATGTTCGTGGATAAACTAACACTGGTCTTTTTTGTTTTGATGACTTGATGATCTGTAGCAAACAGGCTATTTCACTAGAGTGTGAACTAATTAAAATTACATGCTTCAGCACTTGTCACAAATAATCACAGAATGTTTAAAAAAAAAAATCCAGCCTTATAAAATCCAGAATGGAATTAGATTCATTTAGCTCATATAACAGTGATCAATAAAATGCATTGGCTGCCAGCTGTATAGCTGAACCTACAGATGTTTATTAGTTTAGTAGTAAATGTTTGAACATTATCACAATGGACTTCTTTCTACCTTTATTTTGTCTGTCTAGAGAGATTATAGCTTCTGTACGCTCTGTGTGTGTGTTGTGTATGTGGGCAGGTACATGTGGCTTTTTGAAACTGTAAATGTGCACGTTTATTTTGTTTCTGTACTTAAAATTTCAATTTTTCACCCTTATTATTTTCTCCCAATCTAAATGTTTTCCTTTCAAATGATTAGCATGTGCCTGAGGGTTTTCTTTCCCTGTGTCCCCCCACCCCATACATATTTCTCCCTCTTCTAAGCACAACCAAACCCTCCCAGGGAGATCAGGTGCCAAGGTTCAATTTGTGGTCACCAGACTGTATCCAGTCTAGGAAAAAAGAATCGAAAGCAGTTGTGATCTGGAGCAAAAGAAAGTGACTCCCTCCTTTTTCTTTTCTTTTCCTTCTCGTCTTGCTTGACTGGAAGGTAATTCACATTCCCTTAAAGTAGCAGCGTGTCCAGGTAAAATGAAGACAGAATGCAGAGAATCGGGAGAAATTGATGTTAAATTGGGCGGTTGGGTTTGGGTGGGAGGATCACATCCCTCCCAAACCCAACCGCCCAGATTTAGATTTAGTGGCCTCTACCACAGCCTGGCACGGCGGCGCAGGGCACCTGGGTATCCGAAGTCCGCCCCAAGGCTTTCAGCCCTTCGGCCCCTGGGACTGCTGTTAACCCTGCAGGGTAGCCCTGCCAGCCGGAGGGAGCGAAGCCGCCCTGCCGGGACAACCAGGAGGCCGGCGCGGCCGCGTAAGAAGCGAAGCCACGAGGGCGTTTTGCTCATGCTACCGCCACGCACCGCTCTTTGTTGTCACTGCTGCTGCTGCTCCCTTCCACATGAGTCACCCTTCCCGTCCGGAAGGTCAAACCTGGGTCCGATCGTGCCCACGTTCAGCTTCACGGGATGCACGAGAAAGGGTTGTGACTACAGTTGCGGGGGGCGGGGGGGGGGACGAGGGAGACGCTGGGGTCTGGAGCAGTCGATGCAAAAGGCGTTAGCCCCAGCGCGGAGACTTTCCGGAACAGGGAGGAAGACACAGACGGCATGTTACAACTTCTCTTCCCTCCCGCCGCCGCCGCCGCGCGCTCCAGTTTCTCTTCCCCGCACCTCGTTTCTCCCCTCAACAGCTGGAGCTCTCTCGTGTCTCCCCTCGCTTAACCACCCCAGCAACCACAAGACCTCGTTCTCTCACACCCACATTTGGCGC